AGGGTCTGCCGCCAGGTGTGCCACCGATCCGGACGGTGCCCTGACATGATGTGCGCCAGATCGCTTTACTGGGACCTATTCACGTGACGTGGTTGTTGCTCCAGGGACCTCTCCGGCTCGAGCTTGGGAGGACTATCATGGCTGCAGCGAGCGTCTCGTGCCATGGCGACAGAGCAGTGCTCTTGCTGTGTTGCCGTTTGGGCTTCAGATGGACGAGCACTTTGAGCTCGATTGTGAGACCCGACTTTTCCACAGTCGGCGGTGCGGGCGGGTTTCCGGCCCAGCCTTGCCGCAAGATTCCTCTTGCAGAGGCGCTGCAGGATGCTGAGGCAAGCAGTGCCAAGGTGCGGGCGAGTTTGTGCCCGGGCAAGGATGATGAGTTCCTACTGCAGCAGAGCCTCAAAGATGCCGGGAATGACTTCTGCCTATCCTATGCGCCGCCCTGAGCTCATTCGGTGTACCGGGGGCAAGCCATATCGTCTGATCCCCCGTTGCATCACCCACACAGAGCAGCTGGGAGCAGCGCATTATAGACAATGCCATTTCGGGTGGTCAGATGGCGCTGAGCTCTGACCCCAACAAGTTGGTGCTGTGCTCTCCGCTTCCTCCTGCGCAGCATGCCGCTGCCTTGCTGTCCTACTTGGGCCCTGACCACCTTCGGCAGGCGTTAGCAGAGGATGCTATGGAAGGTGGGGGCGAGGATTGGCCGGAGGCGTACCGGCATTGCCCTATGGATCATGAGGCCTCTCTGTGCTGCGTGGTGGCCATGCCGGTTCGAGTGAAACAGCCTACCAGCTTTACACGGGCTTGCTCTTTGGGCTTTCTCTAGCGGTGACGAGCTTCAATCGTTACAGCCGAGCCGTTGAAGCCTTAGGGCGTCGACTGCTCATGTTGCTTGTGCCTCTTTACGTTTGACGATTCCCATCTCACGGATTGGGCATCGTCTTGTGGATCCGTGCAGGAAACCGTTGCCGCTCTCAATGTTTGCATTGGTTCGCCTTTCGCCAGTGACAAAAGGCAGAACATGCCGCCGACTGGAACGTTCTTGGGCCTCGACTTTGATTTCTCTCAGTGCTTGTCCCCGGTGCGGTTCGGTTCTTTGTGCGTGACCGCTTGATCCTCAAGGTCCACGACATGGTCGATCCGGCGATCTCGTCGGGTGCTCTTCTTCCAGGTGCAGCTGCGAAACTCTATGGCACCTGCAACTTCCTTGAGCAAGGCATGTATGGGCGAGTCGGTGCCGGGGGCCTGCGTGCCATTCGCGAGCATGCGGATGAAGGTGGCCGTGAGGTGACTCCTCCCATCCCCGCATGCCTTGATCTGATCAAAGCGGTCCCTTCTGTGCGCCCAGAGCGGGGGTTGGATAGTTTGCCTTGCCCCCTCCCACGGTTTGTTGCCACGAGTGACGCGGTGGAGGACGTGCTAAGCCAAGGCTCCGGGGGGTTTCACTCGGTGTGGCTGCATCCTAGAGAGCGTGAGAGCGTCGTGGCCGTGATTGGTCCTGAGGTCTATTCTTGTTTCACTCCCGGAGATCAGAAGTGCCCAGCTCGAGCTGGCAATGGTGCTGTACGCTCTTACTGCCGTGACTGCTTTCCGTGCTTCTGGTACGTTGAGAATGTTGCAGCCCTGATGGTGTTTATACGTGGCCGACCTAGTTCGCTTGCTTTGAAGCGCATGGCGCAGCTCATTCATTTGGCCCTCTTTGCTCTTCGAGCATCTTTTTTCTTTGAGTATATTCCGTCTAAGACGAACTGGGCAGACGCGGTGAGCCGCGTCGATTTTACAAATC